GGGGGGGGGGGGCTTTACATTTGCACAATGCTTTAGTTAGATGCTACAAAATGTTCCCATAAACTCGACTTTTAAATTTTTAATCTTCCCAACAATCTTGTGAGGTAGAAGCAACTTTATGGTACAAATACTGGATGACATCTATTTGCATTATTATGTGCCTGGCATTGTAGCAAACATCATAGGTCAGTATCTCGCTTCATCCTCATAGCAACTATTTGTGAAGTAGGAACTATTATTATCATCTCTAGTTGATACATGAGAAAACTGAGTCAGTTTTCTCATCTATCAACTAGAGATATATCTATAGTAACTTGTTCAATGTCACTCAGCTAAATGGGAAACCTGGGTTTACAACCCAGATCTCCCTATTATAAGGCCAGGGTTTTCAGTGATACTAAACTGCCTCTGTGAAAGCACTCAGGGAAATAAAGCTTAGAGAGCTGCGCAAATGGAAGAAATTTTTATTACAGAAAAACTCAGTTACTAAGCCTTTTAGTTGGAGCTAAACTGTGGTGGACGTTAATAACCTGACACTTTTTGTCTGTAACACCTTTTGCCTCGTGGTCCTGGGTGCAGGCCTCTGCGAATTCTGAAATCCTAGAGCAGCAGAAGGAAATGAAGACTTAGGAAGATCGGCAGGACAGTGGTGTCGGTCGCCTGGAGCGCGGAACGCCAGCTGCTGTGGGGACGGGAGGGGGGATTAGGGAAACGACAAGGCCACTGCCGTGAGGAAAAGGGATGGGGCCTGGACTCAATGGAGTGGCAAACTCTTCTTTTATTTTAATGAAATACAGACTTTGTAACATTTTGAAAAATACAGAAATAAAGACATCAGCCATTAATCCACTACCCAGAGATAACCGCTGTCAAGCGGTTTTTTTCCAAGCACGCGTTATGTTTGCCTCCAACACTACAGGAGCCACAGAGGACAGACAGGATTTGTAGAGGAAAATATTGCCGGACCTTGGTCACTACCTGCACATGGGCGGAGGAACCGCGGGAAGCCGACGGGATTCTAATTGCATCCTAACGAAGGCCGGAATTGCGTCTCTATGGTCGTTCCCGTGCCGGAACACAGGGTACAGTCTGTCCTTCCTCGGACTCTATGGTCGGAGGACGCACTGTGACCCCGGAAGGGATCCTGCGAGGCTGACGGAAAGATGGCGGCGCGGGCGGCGCTCGGGGCCGTGTGCCGGCGTCTCTGGCAGGCAGGTACCGGGCAGACTGGGGCACTAGGCGCGCCGACAGGGACATTGCCACTAAGTCTGGCTGACAACCGTCGTTCTGGCCGTCAGGAGTTTTCCCCGATTTTATTCTGCACCTCGGCTCGTTTGCAATAATGTGGCAAGAAAGGGCCTGGTTTTCTCTCGAATTCTTTCATGGGGTAAAACGTAAGTCAGAGCAAAGGCTGGAACAAATGACAGAGCTGGAAAGGATATTGAACATCATACGTTCCACCCTTAC